AATTTGACAGCAACAGCCAAAATAGCCAATTAGGTGAAGCAAATGAACCTTTAAGGTCATTTATTTGTTCCATTTCCGATGGTACTAGAGCTAGTTCTAAGGACAATAATGATCTGTACCTTTTTCACAGGAGGGCAGCATCCATCTGTCCAAAATTTTAGTCTTAAAGGTACACAAGGTCTGCAAGGAAAAATTGCAGTTTGTTCAAATTCAAGTTCGTTATTTAGGACATCTAATTTCAGAACAAGGGCCACACCTAGATCCGAGTAGGCTTCATAGCACCCTGCATTTCCCCAACCCCAAGACAATTGCCAATCACAAGGTTTTCTCAGGCAGGCTGGCTGCCTGCCTAGTGTCAGAAATGGATTTTGAACTTTTCTCTCATGGTCCAGCCTTTATATACATTACTAAAGAACACCAAACCTGAGTCCATTAATTGGGAAGCTTGGGATGACCTAGTTTTTAATACCTTAAAAGAAAGCTTAATAAATCCCCTTGCCCTTGAGGGGTGTCTGGGTGGTTCAGTCGGTTGAGCCTTCGATTCTTGATTTTGGTTCAGGTCATGATCTCACGGTTTGTGGGTTCAGGACCTGCATCAGACTCTGAGCTTACAGTACAGAGCCTGCTTGGGATTCTCTCTCCCTCCTTTTTTCTCTACCCTTCTGCAGCTTTCTCCCCCCCCTCGCCCCCCCCCCAGTAAATAAATATCCTTTAAAAAAACAGTAACAAATAAATCCCCTTACCCTTGGACATCCCAACTACCAACTTCCTTTTTTCCCTTTTATATATGAAAAGGAAGGGAATAATACCCTTGGGGTATTCAGCCAAAAATATAGGGACTACCATCAACCCACAGGGTAATATAGCCAACAGATAGACCCTGTGACATGAGGTTACCTCCCTTGCCTCAGAGCCATTCCTGCCACTGCCATTTTAGTTAAGGCCACTGAAGAAATAGTCATGGAGTCCCCTCTAACCACCTTTGTGCCCCACAAAACAGAAGCCTTCCTAAATTCTAATGACTCTAGATGGAGGTTTGTCCAGGATCTCAAAACAATAAACACTAATGTTATCCCACGTCACCCTGTTGTTCCCAAACCTCATAGTCTATTAGCCTCCATCCCAACCTAAATTTTCATCATGCTCAACACCTTTCAGCCAGTCATCTGACCTCTGATGAAATTCTCCCTCTTGCTAACAGCTCCTCACATAACTTATTTTTTCACTATAAGAACCTTAACCCTGCTATACTTCTTCCCTCTTCTAAGACAATACTCCTCATGACTGTTGGACAGATCACTTCCTGGCTCCCTGTGATAACTTACAAGAAACTCCTTTGGATGATGCTGATTGGTCATTGCTCACCTGGTGCTTCTTATATGAAAGGAGAATATGGCAAATACAGTGCTAGATATGTAATTCCAACTCCCTCCGAGGTAAGTGAAGTGGTATCTTTGCCTTTGGCTACTTTAGCACAAGCCAAGCCAGGACCAGGGCCACTCAGAAGACCAGAAAGAGTCCCACTCAAAGGATCCCTATCAAGTACTGCTAACCAACCCGTGTGCTACCAAATTCCAAGGAACAGATTTTTGGATTCCCGGGTCACATATAAAGAAAGCACCAAACCATGACCAGACCTGCACACTCACTGGTGACCTAAAAATAAGTTGGTGACCTAAAAATAAAGATTTCCAGGAACTGAAGCAGATGGCAGCTGAAGGAAACAGCTTTCCCAAGATGATGGGACGAGGGACATATACCTTCATTCTCTTGCTTATTCTCATTCTTCTTTCTTCACCCTCTCTGGAAAAGAAAATGCTCTTATATCCACATTTCCCAATGCTTTGCAAAAGTGGGTAACCTTTCTGACCACTGGATCTGTCACGAGAAGCTCCAATCATCTGTTCATAATGTTAGAGTCCCTTGGTATTACCTAGAATGAATTTCTTTCTAACCCAAATACCACTGCTGATTACAACCAAAAGCCTATAGATGTTAACTATCGGGTTAGGCTTTTGCAACCAGGCATTCCCACACCTTGTTTCAACCTTTCCTGATTTATATACTAGCTCAGTTAAATCCCTCCATCTTTGCCTCTCTGCCAGTTGTACTATCTTCACTCCCCAGACAGAAAACTGCAATCTGTCTCCCTGTACCCAATGGAAATGTAGATACATTTGTGCCTCTTTGCAAGTTTTTTTTTTAATGTTTATTTGAGAGAGAGAAAGAGAGAATGGGGGAGGAACAGAGAGAGAGGGGGAGACAAAATCCCAAGCAGGCTCTGCGCTGTCAGCACAGAGACTGACGCAGGGCTCTATCTCATGAACCCCGGGCCTCATGACCTGAGCCAAAATCAAGAGTCCCACATTTAATCAACTGAGCCACCCAGGTGCCCCTGCATGGTTTTTAGAAAAGACCCCTTTAGGAAAAAATGGACTCTTACAGAATGTTATTCCAACTCCTCTGACCCATGGCTTAAAAGGGTCAGTCAGGACATTTCCAGCTAAGGACTTCTATCAATAATCAGACCTTACCTAGAGTCTCCTATGCTCCACCTGGCTTTGTTTGTAATGGACAACATTTCCTGTGGGCATATGAATGCTTAGATAGCTGGCAACTTGGAAGTCAATGTTATTGGGGCATTTAACTGTTCCTAGTAACATCCATAACAAATCAAGTGACTGCCCATTGGTCTGCCCCATTAGGCTTCCAGAGCCTCTTAAATGAGAACATTTAGGGGGCATACATGATTCCTGGTTTGCCTCCATAGGGAGAGATTCTCTTCCTTGGATTGGAGTAAGTGCCAATGAACACATGATCAGATATCTCTCCCTAACATTAGGAGAGCTAGCCAATTCCACAGGAATAGCAGCCCACCAACTATCATTTGACTGTTTGACTAATGTAGTTTTGGACAATCACATAACCCGTGATTATCTACCTGCTGAACAAGGAGGTGTTTGTGCAGTAGATAATAACACCTGTTGCACATGGATAAATACCTCTGGAGAAGTAGAAATTCAGTTTCACAAGATCAGGGAACAAGTGCACTGGTTACAACAAAATCTCACTTAATGACCCCCTGGTCTTTCGAACTATTTAGCTGGGTTTAGGGTCTTCATCTGGAACCATCACATAAACTGAATTTGTCATATTACTTTTAATTCTGCTTGTAAAATTATTTTTAAACTTGACCTGTTGCCTGTCAAATCTCTGCAGAACTAATGCATCAAATAGGGTGATGCTAGCTCAGCACTTCGAGATGATCTCCAATGTTAATGACTTTGACAAGACATAGACTTTAGATGGAAAGTGACTGAGAGTTCTCCCTCCTACCCTTCCTTATTCCTCAAATGTGGCCTCGATGGTTTCCAATCATTACACACTTTCCCTTCAATGTAGGCCAATGACAACCAAAAAAGATCTTTCCTGGTACTGAGGGAATAAACCATTAAATTTAAAAAATCTGACTCTTGATCAGCAATACTTTTGAGAAAAAATCTTGATCAAAAGGGGGATATGTGAAAATAAATGAAGGAAACATCATTTAAAATGGAGTCAGGAAGCACTGGAGGGGGACCTCTCAAGTACATACCTCTCACTGCAGCTTACATAACCAGCAAGAAGAAGGAAGATAATTATTTTGACAAGAGAGGGCACTTTTCATACAGGAATTTATCTCCTGTCTTTAAGAACAGGAAGATCCCTGCCCCGCCCAGCAAGACACACTAACTACCACCTGCAGTCAATGAGAAACACCCCCATCCTCAAACTCTTGTTCTTCTCCAGTCAACTTTTGTTGAGAACCCTCCCTAATTTCTTCCTAAAACCTAATAAAAGCTGTCCTTCCCTTTGTCTTTTCGGACCTGCCTATGGTTTGCCATAGCTTGCTTGTCACAAACTGTAATTCCTCTGCTATTCCCAAATAGTCGCATTTTTACTTAAATAAAATTGCTCTTTGTTCTGTGTAAAGTTAACCCCCAACAACCCTCACCACACCTCCCCTCGCCCCCCCCCCACACACACACACAACGGCCAATGCCTGTGACTGCAAACTGCCTGGATCCTTAGTCCCTGGGGATGAAAGAGTGGTGGTATCCTCACCCCCTGCTATATGAGCACACACTGAAACTGGGTGCTATTAGGTGTCACTGTAATATATGGGCGGAAACACAGGGCTCCATTTTAACTGGCCACCCTTATTACCACCACCAACCCCTTCAGAGGCCGAAGGGCAGGTTGCATAGGCAGGGGCTCAGAAGCCCAGGAGCCCAGGTCCACGTGTCCCCAGTGGGCTCTTAGCAAGAGATCGCCCGCCCATTCACCACCCCGTCCGCCACCTCCCCCTTCTCCTCTTTCCCACTCACTGTAGCCTAGCAACCCGCTTACCAATAACAGAGGTCCAGGATGACGTTGGGAACGTCGGAGGAGGATTCATTATAGGTCAAAGTTGAATTTCGAGGTGAGCTGGGGCTGGGGTGGGGAGGGGGGCGTCGCCCTCCAGGAGCCAGGTTCCTGAAGAGCTGTAGGAGAACAGCGGCTCCCAGCAAGCCCAGGATGGCATAGCTGAGACGGACCAGAGAGGCCTCGGACCAGGAAAAGAACAGGGGGAGGTGAGTGGGAATCGCGAGGCGAGAGGAAGCTGGGGGGAGGGAGGTAGGGGGTGGCAGGTCTTCCGCAAAGAATCACCTTTAAGAACTGAGAGCAAGGGGAACAGAAAGTACGGGCGTCGCTCAGGAGCCCAGAGCACCGCGCGCGCGGCGAGAGGAGCAGCCACGTAGGAGCTCTACTCCACGCTGCGACCGCAGCACGCGTCCTCGGCTTTGAAATGCGCTCGGTCTGAAGCCAGTCCCATCTGCAACTGGGCGGGCACTGAGCCAGCCGTGTCGCTGGCTCCGCCCACTCCATGGCAGCGCTAGCCTAGCCAATCAGGAGATGCCAGGAGCCTTACAAAAAGACGTGCAATTCTACCACCTTCCCCAACTAGGGCGCTGCCCAGTCCTCTACTCTTTCAGGCATCTGTGGCTTCTCCTGGGCCGGCTCCAGCACGTTGGCTGCTGGAGGGCTGGGCCGGGTCGGCTGCTTGACTTACCTCCCTGACCTCCGCACCTCCGCCTCGGCAAAAAATGAAAAATTTCCTTTTCTGTTGGAAGAGCGTGTGCCCAAGAGTTTGGTGGGTGTTTTGTTTTGTTTGTTTTTGTTTTCGTGAGGGAAGTGCAGTGGTTTGAGTTCTCTGGCTGAATCTGTATTCTGAAAGAGCTGGACACCTTGGGGAATCAGGAGGTACTAGACTGCTTATCATTCCCAGACGCTTGAGCCTCCAGTAAACCTCAGTGCCTCGCCTCTGGGTGGAGTGGTGGAGGGCCGGCAAATAAGTTTTACGAAGGGACTCTGGCCTAAGCAAGAGTGAGACAGAAATTGGGCTCCCGAAGCACCCCCTCTGATGGGGGTCATGAGCAAACGGCTAAGAAAGAATTCGTGAGACGTCTTTGGCGCAAAAAGGGGATTTTATTAAAGCACTGGGAAGGGACCCATGGCCAGAAAGAGCTGCACTGGGGTTGTGAGGAGTGACCCATGGCCAGAAAGAGCTGCACTGGGGTTGTGAGGAGTGACTGATTATACATTTTTAAGTTTGTGGAGGGAAGGAGAGATAAAAGTAAGTTTCTAAGGAATTTGGAAGCAAGGTTTTCAGGACCTTGAGGGCCTGGCTGCTGTTAAGATAAAGTTACTTTTAGTTTTTAACAAAACACAAGCATTGAGGAAGGCAGCCAGGCGTTCCTCAAGGAAGGTTGTGTTCTGCATGTTTCAGATATCTATCAGTGGCCTGCAAACTGTAAGATTTAAGCTACATTTTCTCTTGCCTTTGTTTTCCTCCTCACCACTACCACCTAACTAGAGGATGCAGAGTTGGAGTGTTCTTGGCTGACACCATACAAGAGGAAAAGAAGGCAAAGGTAAGTGTACCTTTAAGGGAGTTAGCCCTTGGAGAGCAGGCCATTCTAATATTCCAGCATTCTGGCCCCATCATATGGAAAAGCCTGGCATTTTGTCTGGAAGGCATCTATTCTTTCCACTACCCTGAACACAGTCCTGTGGGATAGGATATCAGAATGAGGAAATGCCTCCACTCATTACCCTCTGTCCTTCCCATCTCCAAGATGAAGCAAGTTTTGGGGCACCTGGATGGCTCAGGTCACGATCACGCAGTTTGTGGGTTTAAGCCCCACATATGGCTCTGTGCTGACAGCTCGGAGCCAGAAGCCTGCTTAAATTCTTTGTCTCTCTCTCTCTCTGCCCCTCCCCGCTTGATCTCTCTCTCTCTGTCTCTCAAAAATAAATATTAAACTTTAAAGAGGTGCCTGGGTGGCTTAGTTGGTTAAGCCTACGACTTCGGCTCAGGTCATAATCTCGCAGTCTGTGAGTTCAAGCCACCGTCAGGCTCTGTGCTAACAGTAAAGAGGCTGGAACCTGCTTCAGAATTCTGTGTCTCCCTCTCTCTCTGCTCCTCCCCCACTCGTTCTCTGTCTCTCTCTGTCTCTCAAAAAAATAAATAAAACGTTAAAAAAATGAATGAACTTTAAAAAAAATGAAGGGGGGCACCTGGGTGGCTTAGTCGGTTAAGTGTCCGACTTTCGCTTAGGTCATGATCTCACGGTTCGTGGGTTCGGGCCCCGCGTCAGGCTCTGTGCTGAATGCCAGCTCAGAGCCTGGAGCCTGTTTCAGTCTGTGACTCCCTCTCTCTCTGACCCTCCCCTGCTCACGCTGTCTCTCTCTCTCTCTCCTAGAAATAAATAAAACATTAAAAAAAATGAAGGAAGTGTAGAGAGGCCTCTTTAGAGCGCATAAGCCAGAGGGGCAGTCAACAAATAGAACTGAGTACCTCCTAAGGCATGCATTTACAAGTGTTGAAATCAGGGGCACCTGGGCAGCTCAGTCAATTAAGGCTTCCAACTTCAGCTCAGGTCATTATCTCGCAACTCCGTGAGTTTGAGACCCACATCAGGCTCGTTGCTGTCAGCACAGAGCCTGTTTGGGATCTTCTGTCCCTGCCCTGCTTACGCTCCTGGCTCTCTCTCAAAATAACAAAGATTTTTAAAAAATTAGAAGTGATGAATTTGTTATGGATCTTTTTTTTCAAAACAGATTTCAAGTTTGCTCTTGGTTAACTA